TTTTTCAAAATTCTTGTTTAAAACATTTTTTATAGGGTCTTTTTTTGATTTAACAAAAAGGGGGAGAAAGTGTTAAAGTAAGGGGGATTAGTATTTTTCAAAATCAAAATTCATTTTCAAATTAGAAAATCTTAAAATGTTTTGTTATATCAAAAAGAGGGAGATTGTTGAAAACATTTTGATGTTTCGATACAACAAATTAAATTAAAAGAATTTTAATTTTGAAAATGATTTTCTAAGCATATTCGATATATTAAATTGAATATCAAAATATTACTCAAAGTATTTCAAAGTTCATTTTAAATCCTTACTAAAGTGTAAAATTAAGTTTTAATCTTAAAATAATTTCAAAACAATTTTACAAAGTATTTCGAATCGTTTCAAAGCCAAAAATTACAGTTTGTCTAGAGGGAACCGATTCCCCCCCGAATGGTTTGGCTCCGAGAAATTCCAGTATGCTCGGAGGGAACCGACTCCCCCCAGGGGGTATTGATTCCCCCCACTGTTCAACGGTCGAATATTTGAACTTTACACTTAGAGAACCGATTCCCCATGAGGGGTACCAATTCCCCCCACGCTCCAAGCAGAAATATTAATTGTTTTCACACTTAAGCGGTTCCAATAACTTCATTAATGATCCCCAACGTTTAGAAGTGATTCAAGGTGTATTTAAGCAAGCTTAGAAGCCATTGATCAATAACAAGAAACAACAAGCAACTAGAATCAAGAGAGAATCAAAGAGAAAGCATCAAACCTCAAGTTTGAGCATTTCAAGCCTATTTTTCATTCAATATTCATTTTTCTTTCAAGAACACTTATTGTGCTCAATTGTATTATTCTTGAGTGTTCTTTCTTTGTTCTAGAATTATACAACAACCTACCTTGTGAGGATTTCCTTGTAAGTTTGCAAATTTGTATTGTTCTCTTTGGGAGAGAGTGTTCTCAAAAGAAAGACAAATTAGTGAATTTGTGGAAAATCCTTAGTGTGGATAGCTAAGGTAGTGGACGTAGACTTTGGTTGAGAAAGTCGAACCACTCTAAATCGTTGTGCAATTACTTTCAATTTTCTGCAAAAGCTTCCACCAAAATTTTAATTGCCAATTCACCCCCCTCTTGGCCATATTCGTCGATCGATTAACTCAACAGTTATTGTCACATTGTGTGCAAACTAAAGCACGACATCAAGAGATGTATCATCAATCATTTCGCCATCGTAATATACCAAATCAATAAGGCTTTTTCTCCTCGATATTTTAGCTGAGTTGTTGCTCGATAATACTGAATTGCGGTTATTTTATTATAAGAACCTCGCAGTTGAAATACACGATTTCCAAATAATGTAGGGTGTGAGATACTAGTGTCTTATGTTTTGCAAGATACATGGTTCTGCTAATGCACTACAGATATCGCGGGATGCAGGGTACGATTTTCACTGAAAATATTTTGATTAACTCAAAATAAAATAGTTTAGTACAAATATTTTAGTTTTTAATTTAGTACAAATATTTTAGTTTTGAAGAATGAAATAAATAACAGCTAATAATGCATATGTTCATCAGTTTCACATGGTGGTGGACGACGAGTCCAACGCAAACGTAATTACAGTTCCTCTTCCTCTTCAGCAATATTATCATCATCAGGATCAACAGTTGTATATGGAATCAATCCACCACTAGCACTAGAATAGGAATCAATATAGAATATGCTATACGATACATCTGGTAAACAATATCGGACCAAGTTAGCCGCCAATTGTGTCAATGGTGAATTCAACTGTTCAAAGACGTCAGTGAGGAAACCTTCCGAGAACTGCCCCATTTTCTGAAATGTTGATTGAGTTGAGTGGGTGAAGACATGGTCAGAGTGTGCAGCGGTGTATGAGGAGGTCCATGTGTTGTTGTCGATGAGGAGGATGACCTTGTTGTCTTTTTCTTCTCTGCCTTGACTCCCCCACGTTGCCTCCCTGTCCATGGACGACTCTGTGGATGAACATATAATTCTCATGCTCGCTCCTCATCGGCTAATATATGTGGCATCCCATATTCTTGGTACCACCACATATAATCGTATGTCATACTGTGGTCGAATATATGTTGAGTTATGGGTGTCCTTTCGAATCTTTGGACTCACTCGTTCAAATAAACCACATATGGTTCACGTATTAATTTTTGTCTTCCTTTGTCGCGTCAATCGATGGAACTCATCCAAGCAATGCGGATGTGGCAAAATCGATTGGAAACAATTAAATTGTAAAAGGACGCTCGGTAGGATGCCACTCGACTATCTCATACAAGATCATCAGGATTGACATGATGTACACGGGCACATTAGTCACCCAAATCTAATGCGGTATACAGTCAACAATAGCATATCGTAGTAAGGCATCCACATGAACTATAAAATTAAAATTACATAATTTTGTTAGCTAAAAACATCAAATAAATTAAATTATTCTCAAATTATAAGAGAAAAGTCAAAGGAAAATATTTTATTACTGATGCCCACACTTATCAATCAAGAGTCTGAAGTCTTGTTGATGTGTTGGTAAGTGGACGTGAGAGGTTTCATCAGTCCACCTATCATTAATACAATATAATTGTATTATTTTTTAATAATATTATAAAAAATAGATAAAAATTATTATTTTTTACCTCTTAAGTAACAAAAATTTATATGAGACATATGTTTTAAGGATCATCATAAAAATGATATTCAGATATAGGTCCACGACTACAACAACAATAAACACCCTCCAATGACATTTTTTAGTCGTATCTACGACTCTACAAAGCTACCAGAACAAAAATGCAAAAATTGTTGACCCCAACTTATATTTCTTTAATCACTCAAATTTTTCTTCGACTTTCATCTTATAGTTTTGGAGATTAGGTCATGAAATTCCCCCAATAACTCGTAGTATATGCGTACGAACAAATCATTTCAAAAAATTAATAAAATAATATAATTACTTAAATTCCAAAAAATTAAATAAATAATTAAAATATTAATAAATATTCATAGATAAAAACATTTATATTTATATCATTTACTTCATGCTCCGTATTCCGGGTAGGTTTATAAAATTTTTATCTAAAAATTTAATTTTTATTTTCCATCATCGCGTGCATTATCAGGCAGATCAATTCTGAGCAATACCTCACATAAGTTTCTAGGGGCGCCGATAACACCACTAATAACTATTCCATCAATAAGCAGCCCCAGATGAAATGCAACATTTTGCAGGTAATAGTTGCTTCTCTACATGGTAAATAAAGAGTGTGTGTCTTTAGTCTCCATCTTTCCACTAACGAATTTATATGTGGAGGATGCAACTTCATACCGTCACCAGTTATACTATTGATATATCCAAAACCAGCTAAATGTAAACAATCAATAATATTTGCATCGGCGGTGTCACACGATTTATATGACACCCTAATATATGTTCATATCACTACGAAATATAAATATTAAAAATTTATTTAAATACCAAAACAAATAAACTAAATAAATAAATAGTAAAAATATAAAATAATAGTAATTAATTTACCTCATCATTTCGCCTCCAATAATCGAATACGCGACTTCTATCATGTCTTAATAAACTCGCTGTCATGATATGAAATCTTTGAATCTTTAAATATATGAAAGGGTGTGGTGATGAATAGGAGTAGAGGACCCTATTTATATACATTCTCACACCTAGGGAAGTGCGGTTTTAAATGTAACTCGTGTCCTGCAAGATGCGAGTTACATTGAAAACATGCAAAATTTATTCCGTTCAAAGTATCTTACGGTTTGCAAGACGCGAGATTGCTATCATATTTTATCTTTTAAATTTTAAAATATATTATAATTATAATATTATTAATTATATTTAATATTTTACCCATATAATTTTTTATTATTTCAAAATTTACAAAATATATTATAATTATTTTGTATAAAATATCTATTTTAATTACTATATTTATATATTATTATATTTTAATTATTTATTATATTTAATAATTATTATGAATAATAATAATTATTATATTTATTTATTATATTCATTTAATTTTTTAAGTTTCAAATTAGGTTGTTAAATTGGAAAGAACCTCACATTTTGCATGTCGCGAGGTTCTCCATATATCTCGCGATATTTTGGATCATAAGAGTACCTCGCGCTTCGCAATACACGAGATCATTTTATCAATTATTTTATTGGCTTACTTAGAAAATGCATCCACGTCAGATGTATCTCACGTGTTGAAAATACGATGATTTAACACGTTATTTATATGTCTCGATGTCGTTCAATCTAAATAATTTAGAGATTATTCTTTTAAATAATTTCTGAGAAATCATATTTTTAAACAATTATTTATTTAAGATTTTTAATGTAAAATTGCCGAAAGTAAATTCATTGATTATAAAAGTGGGATTGGGTCATTATCAAAACGGGGGACAACACATCACACCCCTGCCCCACCATCACCAAAGGACAAATTTGCCTTCCCACTTGGCTCAAATCCTAGTCATATTGTCTTGCGCATGAAGCAACCGTTTATTATTTCATAAACTCTCGTTATGGTGTCCTTATTATGCTCAAACTTAAATTTCAGTTCACACTAACATTATATTCTTTGGTGGCTCAAAAGGATCCTTCTAAGATACAAAAATCAAACTTAAGTAATTAACGGTGTTGATTATTTAAACACGTTAGATTTTTGTACAATCATTATAAAAAGTCAAGCCCTTATTTTGAATAGTTTAAAAAACATTAATCCTTTGTTTATCTATTTTGAATAGTTTAAATGCTACTAGATTAATTAAAATATAAGAGATTAAACTCCAACTTTGAATATAATAAAGGGACCAAAATCAGAAATTGACCTTTGTTAATAAGCTAATCCCATTCGGCCCATCCCATCTATCGACATTCGACAAAATATATATATACATAAAGTTGCGTCCTTGACTCGGGGGTGACACTCAAAATCTGTCTTAAAAACGGTGAGTTCCAGTGGCGGCTGCTCTGTCATAACAGTGGTTTCCTGGAAGGTTCTCTGGGACAGCTGAACAGGTGAACAAGCCTGACCCTTTATAAGTTTAGACTATTTTGCTCAAACCCGCGGAACTCTTCAGGTACTCTCTTTTTATACTTTGACTGCTCTTTCTTTATCTTGTAATATCCTCTTTTCCTCGAGAGATTTTCAGTCATGGATACCCTTTTCCAAGATTTCCCCAGTTCCATGTACGGATTCAAATTCGATCATGGGGGAGTCCCACTGTATTCAAATCACAGCCCTGTTAATGGGTTCGAAGAGAGATCGAGTCCGGACTCACCTGTCGAGTCAGCTTCATCATCGGGGACGACGAGTTCAGAGGGACATCCTCTGGATAACGTCCCCTACGCCAACGAAATGCTCAAGTACATAAATGAGATGCTGATGGAAGAAGACATGGAAGAAAAGACGTGTATGTTGCAAGATTGTTTAGCTCTCCAAGCGGCTGAGAAATCATTCTATGAAGCCATCGGCCACCAATATCCACTTCCCACGGATCAAACTTATCTTATTGATTCTCTTGAAAGGACCTCTTTGTTTCCAGATCTACAAACTGAGACCTCGATGCCGCCTTTTGAGGGGCTCCCGGGTCCAGAAAGCAACTTATCGGTGTTGAAGGGGAGGAAGAATTACCAGCGTGACGATGGTGATGAATTGGAACAGGGGAGGAGCAGCAAGCAGTCTGCTATTTCCCTCGATGATTCAGAGCAATCGGAGATGTTCGATGAAGTGTTGCTTTGCAAGGGTGAGAACGAGGACTCTCCGAGGTGTTCCCTTAGAGCGAGTTCACTGCAAAATGGGCAGCTCAAAGGGCCTTCCAAAGGTGGAACAACTCGCAGAAAGAAGAACGGGAAGAAGAGTGAAGTGGTGGATTTGTGGAGTCTACTCACTCAGTGTGCACAAGCTGTCGCCATTAATGATCAAAGGACTGCAAATGAGATGTTGAAACAGATAAGCCAAAACTCTTCTCAAACCGGTGATGGAACCCAAAGATTGGCGCATTACTTTGCTGAGGCACTTAAGACACGTTTGGCCGGCATGGGGGCTCCATCGTATTCACCATTGATAAGCAATAGGACTTCGGCTGCCGACATCCTTAAAGCTTACGGGGTGTATGTTTTAGCCTGCCCTTTCAAGAAAATGGTGAATTTTTACGCGAATAAGAAGATAATGGAAGTTGCAGAAACTGCAACCACGCTCCACATCGTTGATTTTGGCATTGGTTATGGTTTTCAATGGCCTTGCCTCATACAGCGTCTCTCAGCAAGGGCCGGTGGACCTCCCAAACTTCGTATTACCGGCATTGAGTTCCCACAACCAGGATTCCGACCGGATGAAAGGGTTGAAGAGACAGGACGTCGCTTGAAAAGGTATTGTGAGAGATTCAATGTCCCGTTCGAGTACAACGTGATAGCAAAGAAATGGGAAACCATCCAACTCGAAGAACTAAAGATCAACAAAGACGAAGTCGTCGTTGTAAACTGCTTGTATCGGCTAAAGAACCTCCCAGACGACACAGTGTCGCCGACCAGCGCAAGGGACACTGTCCTAAAACTGATCAGAAGAATCAACCCAGAATGTTTCATCCATGGGGTTGCAAACGGGACGTATAACGCTCCCTTCTTTGTCACAAGGTTCCGGGAAGCACTGTTCCATTTCTCAGCTCAGTTCGATATTTTCGAAGCGAATGTTTCTCGGGAAGATCCGCAAAGGATGATGTTCGAGAGGGAAATACTGGGGAGGGACATAATGAATGTTGTTGCGTGCGAGGGAATCGAGAGGGTGGAAAGGCCTGAGACGTATAAACAATGGCAGGCTAGGATGCTGAGGGCAGGGTTCAAGCCGATACCGCTGGATGAGGTGCTTGTGAAGAAAGTGAAGAATCTGGTCCAATCTCATTATAACAGGGACTTCATCGTGGATGTTGATGGCCGGTGGATGCTGCAGGGATGGAAGGGGAGAGTTCTTATTGCCCTTTCATGCTGGAAACCTGCTAGGAATTAAAATGCAATGGAGAGCAGCAGGGCAGTAAGTTGCAGATTAGTTTATATTACTCGGTAGACTGAGACACTACCCCATTTGATGTAGTTGTAAATATACGAGTCCTAGAAGCAATGGCTTCATGTGTGTTGATTGTTAAACCTCAAATTAGCCGATTACCAATATAATATTTCGAATGAATTGAGTTAGCATTTGGTAACTAACCTCTTTGTCTTCCTTCCAGATTTGAAGGATCTGGAAATTTCCTGTGAATGTGATGTGTAAATTCAAGCAAAGCTACACATGACTCTTAGCATTTCCATCTCAAAATGCTCACATTTCTTACATGCAATCTCAAAGATAAGGCAACAATTGACAAAATACTCTTTACCCTCTAAATTACTATTTCTTTGCTCTCGTTTCGCCGTATTAACCGCCACACTTGATCAAATGTTTCTCTTGCATCTCTACAATACAGAAAAAATTGCAGTCTTCACTCATTTGTAAAAGGATAACAAAAGGAAGACGAGGGCTTAACTTTAGTTGAGGGGAAACAATTTTATTTGGATTTGTTCTGTTTCTTATTCAGGGAACCCGACAAAATCGTTGAGATAATGTAAGTGGGATTTTTTTAATTCCCAATATAATCCACCTTAGGGATTATTTCCTAATCTAGGGTAAATTGAACAGTACTAACCTAAAGACATCAGGTGTTCCACGCGTCTTCAAACTAAATATGAAACTTCACGACTGCATGGCGTCTTCAGGCAAATGAAGAAGACCCCACGACTGTGTGGCGTCTTCAGGCAAATGGGGAAAACCCCAAGAGTGCACGGCATCTTCAGACCAATAAAATCTATTGTTCAGGAAATAATATGATGGATGTCTTATATATAAATTTTTTCCCACAACCCTATATAGGCGAAGCCTAGGGAACCTGTAGCTCTTTTTTACTGATTTGAATTTAAAAGTTAGGTCTTTAGCTTAGCCCCCAAATAAGGCAAACAATTTAATTAGTTAGTCTAATAGCACATAAAAAAATTTTATTTAGGGTTTACAACATTTAGTATAGTGACTTAGAACTCATCACGTCGAGATGAACATTATAAAAAATACTATAGATATCAAAATAAACTTCTACTTATCATATTTTTTTCAAACAATTTAGGGGGAAAACCCTTTAGCTCAGTTAGGCCCAATCTAGATGAGCTGATTGTGGATTCAAAATAAAGGATGCGAGGCCCCTAAAATAGTTACTTTTTAAGGTTCTCAGGGTAAACTACATCATTGGTCACCGTATTATGATCTCTATCCTATTTTGATAACCATGATATTTTCTGCATATTTTATTATTAATGTTATATTTTCTAAAAATGTGATGTAGTATGATATAATGATAATTTTAATTCTTAATATTTATACTTTTTCTATGAAATGGTGACATGTGTCGCTATCTTATTGATAATTAAAAAAATAATTGAGGTTGGAGGTGATGAAATTCAAACCTGGATAAAGTTGCAATTATGATAATAAACTTTTGAACCCATAATATTAAGGTGACATACATGATTAAGTATATATATGTAGTCAAGTATGAGTCGCATGTGTAAATACTCAATTGTTAATTTTTTTTATTGATTATGGAATTAGAAATTAGTGTTAACGTGTAAAGTTAAATATTTGAGTTATGATCTTCAAATGAGTTTCATAATTTTAACATTTGGGTTGGGAGGGTCACCCTCGTTATATATATAGCGTTTTTCACGAATATGTGTTTAAATTATTTTTTGAATGATTCATGTGCCTAATGTTACAAACGTTACCACTTTAGGTGTCCGAGCCATAATTACCGTTAATTTTCTCCATTAAGTGACATGTGTCACATTTATGGTAATTTTGAAATTTATTTCTTAACAAACCTGAAAATATTTTATTTATAAAAAACCATAAGTTCTCTTAAATTATATAAAAAAACACAAAATCCCCAAATCCTTAACCCTAACACACAACCGCCAACATAGTCCCTGCCATCATCCTAGTCATACGTCATTGTAGTTGTCGCCGATTGACCATCGGAATCGTGTGGGATCACAATTTTAATCCTAAGCTTCATTGGGTACAAAACATTGATTGGTCGTTGATCAGTCGCGATTTCATAGGATTATTGATTGTTGGGGGAGATGAGGTCAGATAGAGCTTCGTCGATGGCAAATGGTGGCGATTGACATGGGTTCAGGGTTGAAATATTTCACAGTTTTGGAGTTATTTCAATTTTTTTTTGTGTTTTAAAATATATTTTTAATTTTTATTTTTTAAATAAATTTTTTTAAATTACCAGAATGTGACACGTGTCATTTAACGGAGGAAATTAGCATCGTTTATGCCCCAAACACCTAAAATGATAAGTTTTGTAACATTAAACACCTGGATCGTTCAAAAAATAGCTTAGGAACAAATTACTGAAAAATACTATATTTTAGGCACTTAATTTATAATTAAGCCTAAATTCAAATACACTCCTACATTTAATTTATTTTTTTATGACTTGATAGGATAAATCTACAGTTTTCATTTCGTTATTCATGGTGTATTCTCTCTTTTGGGTACTTGAGGCCCCTATACTTTTCCAAAAAACCAATGTGGCCCTTGATTTTTTTTTACATTCAATGTGGCCCTCGAAATTAGAAAAAGAATCCAATGCGACCATTTGACTAATGATTTTCAATGTTGAGTGTTATAATACTGACGTGACAGTCCACGATGGTTGGTGATGTGGCTGATGAGCTAAATTGGTTTTTAATAATCTGATTATCAAATATCAATATAAATATACTTGTAATTATGCTAAACTATAAATCAATCCGATCTTTATCATATTGGTCTAAAAATATGTTTGCATCTACGTATAATTTAAGTTAATAGAATATAAAATATGTCCATCAAATTATCGAAATATTAATCTATATAAAATTAAGAAAATATATAAAGTTACTTTAACTTTGTACTAATTTAAGTAAGTCACACCTCATATATGATTGGAGTAATTAATTAAAGTATAATATTTCAGAGATTGTTACTCTAAACCCTAACCGTTTTTTCCCTTCCGCTCTTTCCCCATCCTCTTTTCTTTTCTTTACAATTTATGTCATTTTTCTATATATCAAATCAAACTTTTCTTCATTGATTTTGTTTAGTCGACGATGATATCAGTTTTGATGCTAGTTTCGATCGCCGATTGTCTTTTCTCTTTGTATTTTTTTTAGTTTTTAATAAGAATATGTATGTCTTTGTGATACATTTATCTCTTCTTTTGTGGAACATTTATCTCTACCTTTTGGTAGTTTTCAGTTGTTTGGCCGTTATTTTCATTTATTTTTTTCTTAGGGTTAGATTTGACATTGCCACGATTGATCAAAATGTCGTTTAGTTGTTATCATGTTGATCTTCTCTGCTTTGGGCCATTCGATTGATTTGGATATACATTTTACATTCGTTGATAGTTTTCTCACGTCGCTAGACTCTAATTTATAATTTGTCGGTAGTTTTTCAATAGCTTCATCCCTTTGGTGGTTCATTCACCGATATAGTCATATTTTTTCGAATCTTTTGGTTAGTTTTTTTAACCTTTTCCTTCTTTGGTCATTGTGTGATCTAGGCGGCTAATTTTTGTGTCAATGATTATAAGAAAATGTCCTAATTATAATTTAGTTTATATTTACGGTTATACTTGTAAATCTTCATTATAATTTTGAATATTTTTCCGTTTTTAATAAAATTATCAACTTTCAATAAAAAAATATTATGAAATAAATAAAAACAATTAAAAAAAAGGTAAAAATAAGATTACCTGGACATTGGGTTGTTCCTATGTCTTGGACAAAGCTGGAACAATCGCCAGTACCGAGCGCTACCAAAATTGACAAAATTGATTTTTGTAATTTCAATGAAAAATAATATAGTAAATTAAATTAAATAATAATATTTTAAAAATAAAAAATATATTATTTTTATTTAATAAATAATACTAATAATTAATGGAGTGTCATGTCACCAAAATAAATAATACTTGTAAAAAAAATCAATTTAGCTCATCTAACGTGCCATCAATCACCATGAATTGTCACATTAGCATTGTGGATGACCATATCAGCATCATGAAGTGTCATGTCAGTATCATAACGGTCAATGATGGAAACCGTTGGTCAAAAGACGATATTAGGTTCATTTTCTTAGTTTAATGGACACATTAAGAGTAAAAAATTAGAATGGTACATTGGTTTTTTGGGAAAAGTACAGGGGCCTCATGTTAACTTTTACCAAATAATAAATAGGGTTTATTTTTTAGTGTAGTAAAATATTAATTAATAATTTAATCTTTTTATGCTATTATTAGAAAATTAATATATTAATAATTTGTAATATTTTTTATTATCTATTAGTAAATTAATATTTTTTTGGATGAAATAATTTTTAAGATAATTATTAAAAAATATTTAAAAATTAACGAACTGCTCTCGAACTTATTGAGTTGAGTTAAACTTCACTCGATTCAACTTATTAAGGTCTCGAGTTGAGCTAAGTCGAGTCAACCTGAATCGAACTTTTATATAATTTTGACTAATCAAATTCAAACTACTCACGAACTACTCAACTTATTAAGATTCCCTAACTGTAATCTTAGAAGAACGTAACAAAAGAGGCATGGGAGGAGTTCTTAATGGTGATCTAACCATGAGAAAATCATGAATCTCAAAGAACTCAAATCTCGTGATCTACCTACGTGTTTGAGGCTTTGAGCCATCAATCCTTCCTATATAAAGGAACCCTTCACAGGAAAAAATAAATAATCTTACTGCAAGAAATGGAGTTGTATAAGAAGCTTGCTTTTCTTATAGTTGCTAGAGTTGGTGTTTGCAAAGTAATGCATAAAGGATAATTTTAAAAACAAAGAATAGAACAAATGATTCTTCTTTATTGATGGATGATTAAAGTGAAAGATACAAATTAGAAGCACAATTTGTTAGAGGGAATGTGATTTTATAAAATCTGGGTTTTTTCTGGCCATTGTTGTCTATATAATCAACTAAGCCATAACCGATGTCTGAATTGCAAGCTTCTTCCCAGAACATGCAACACCTGCTTTCTTAGTATCTGATTCCCACAGCTCCGGCAGTGCTTCCCTGATGTTGTGTATGCTCTCCAATGCATAGTCTGCTCCATTTGTTCTATGGGAAGTCCCCACCTACATTGGATATCGCCCATAAATTCAAACCCTGTTCTGTAATCACAATACTACAAGTGTTTTTCTGCAATTTGTCAATTAATATCGACTTACCAACACAGTGTGAAGGCCTATTTCTTTTGCAGATTGTATGTTGCGGATGCTATCGTCAAAGAAGAGCTGCAGTCAACAAGAAAAGAGTTTTAGTCCCTTTACTTTGTCGAAATTTAAGTTTTGATCCCTTAAGTCCATATTGATAATTAGATTGACTTACTGTTTTTTGAGGATTGATGTTGGCTATCTTGAAGGCTTCTTGAAATGCATTTTTAAATGGTTTGCAGATAACTGGAGTGTCTGGAAATACTGATGTGTTGGCATCAAGAATTTCAGCACTAGATGTGTCTTCATCATCTGAAGTATTGATTCCATTAGTGGGATTAATGGTCTCGAAGCTTACAACCCTTTCAAAGCAATCCTCCAAGCCTAGCTTCCTTAAAACTTTAGCCACATGGACCTTGTCCCCATTTGAGAATATCTGTTTCAATGGAAATATTAATCAAAAGAAATTTCCCAGATAAAATGAGTATGCTAATCACAGACAGACAAAGAGATACTTACAACTTTGCGAATCGGCAAGCTAAGCAAAAGATTCCTCAAAACATGATCATGTTTCAGATTCTCATAAGGCAATCTCCCATGAACAAAGCTGTGGTATTCATCATAGTCAAAGTTGTAGCCAATAGCCTGCAAATGACCATTCAAAAACACAATAAGATCCACATTCCAATAATTTGGGAACCACAATAATCAACCAAAAGAAAGGATCATAGAATTTACCCTGAGGCCAGCCATTGATGTCCCATAGTTTCTGTATAGCACACGATTAACCTCCGAGACTTTGTCTCCTTCTACACCAAGCTTTTGAACCATAAATTCTGCATAAATAACATATTATGTTTCCACAAAGATAACCCAATTTTGCCAACATATTGGGAATTTACATCAAATATGCAGTAGCATATACCTTCGATGTTTCTGGTGCATGCTTTTGATAAACCAGAACTCAGAGGATAAAGGGTATCATCGACATCAAAGAGAAGACAGTCATATTTTGCTTCTTCAACATGCTGGTACTGGTTTTCATACTCCATTGTTTATATCAGCAAGAACAACTAAGCCTTCCCTGAACGTATGTAATGAAAAACAAATAAGGCAACCAGAATAAGAAACCGAGAAGGGTAAAGCTATAAGAGAAAGATATATGAGAAGGGTGAAGATGGTAGTTTAAATAAGGGAAGAAGCCATTGGAAATAGAAGCATCGATTGTTAAGGAAAGAGAAGGGAAAATGATGTGAATGGTGCCCTTTTGGTAGGGTCCTAACGTATGAAAAACAAATGTGAGACCGGTGACTGGCAACATCAATTTGACCAACAAGCCTGCCACGACCAAACTTTTAGTGGTTGAAAGACCCCGTTAAGTTTCTTCAATCGGTTTCTTTAAAGCGGTAGGTTAGGTGCAACCATTTCCATGCTCGTACATAATCATGGTCTAATTTCAGTTTTAGTCCCTCATTTATAATGTTATTAATATAATTAAATTGATAATATCGATTATTATTGTTAAACATGAATGTCTATTATTAGTTAATAAGTTAAATATGGTTTACTAGCGTTTTACGTGACCAACCTTTGAAAGAACAGAAATCGTCTGCTCCCACTATGTGCTCCACTGCTCCTCTTTATGCTTCACGAATAATAGTTTGATACGTATTCTTTTTACTTTATAGAAATATCATATAAATTTTTAAAACTGAATGGGCATAATGATAAAAAAAATATTTTTAATATTCGATTAAATAACTATTTTGATTATTATTCTTTTTTAGAATATTTTGGGATAAAATGATCATTCCATCGATGAAAATCATTAGTCAACAAACGGTTAAATTAAACGTTAGATGTTTTTTATACTAAAATAAAACATTAAGACAAATACTCCAAACAAATAAAGTTAAAATAACTATTTAATCGAATATTAAAGATATTCTTTTATCATTATATATTGAATAATATAAAAAGGAAACAAAATCATGTCACCACATTAACAATAGCTAACTCAGTTAATTAATTAACAGTGTACAAGTAAGTAATGTTATAAAAGCAAAAGATTAAATTATGTCAAATTAAAGTATAAGGTTAAATATTTGGTTTCAGCACAGTAGAGGGATTGAAACCAGAATTAGGCCTGAAAGATATTTTCAAGCATAATAACGCGTGGGTTCGTGCTTTTGTTTGGTTTTGAAAAGATTAGCTTACAATAATTTCAATATCGAAATAGGAAATCTGACAATGTGATTTTCTTTCTCGAATAATTACAATAATTTGGCCCATTAGGCCACGCAAAATTATTAATTTGTTCATCACCCTATTCATATTTTTTATTTTGATATCTACTACAAATATTAGTGTATGGTAAATTTATCCAGTCAATATAATGAGTTTAACCAAACAATATTTTTAAATGGACCCAGGTAAATAAAACCCGTGGTGTCTAATATTTTAATATATTTCCAGGTAAGTCGACGTGATGAGTCTTTATATATATATATATATATATATAAGTAAATTATGTCATTGACCACTCAATTATTTTGTTCTTTTATTTTTATCATTGATATTTTAATTTTGTCAATAAGATCAATTAATTATTTAATCGTTGTCAATCAAGTCACTTGCCGTTAACAGTTGAGGAAAGTGATGATGTGACACTTAATAAAATTAGCATAATTATATATTTTATTATTTTGATCTTAATTTTAATTTAATTTAATAAATTTAATTTTTTAATCAAATTATGTCACGTGCACAATATAAATGAAGAGTATTTTTAATTTAATTAATTTATTTTATAACCAATCAATTGAACATGTCATCGTCGGAATAGATGGAAAATTAGTATTAGAGGAAGAAATGAAACAAGAAGGGATAGCTGGATTCAAAACTGTGCCGTGGGGGATAAAGCAATAACGCTCAAACCACTGGGCTATGATCCTTGATTAGCCATAACGCAACATATAGAATATCAAATATCGTAAAATGGCATTAAAAAAAAGAAAGCTAAGGAAAGAAGTAATCATTTTAATTTTTATAATAACATATATATATTCTTTAACTCTGTTTGTTTTACTAGCAAATATATTAAATTATTTGCTAAATTTAATAGTAATTTATACATATAATCATTAAAATTTTTAAGTTCAGTAATAATTTTAATTTTTTTCTAATAATTATATATATATATATATCAATTTATTTTTATTGAAAATGTATGAAATTATTTAAAAATAAATAAATTATTTGATAAAATTAAGAATAATTTATATATACAATCATCAAACTAAATCTTTTTAACTTAAGTAATAATTTTAAATTTTTTATTAATAATTTAATATATATATATATATATATATTAATTCAAAATTATTCAAAATATTTAAATTGTTTGATTAATTTAACAATAATATATATATATATATACATATACATTAAATTAACTTTTAAACTTAAGTAATAATTTTAAATTTTTATTAATGATGTTATATATTTTTACTTAATTTATTTTAATTAAAAATATATTACAAATAAAAAAAATTAAAAAGTCATCGTTTCATTCGACCTTCACAAAATAAAATGAAACAAAAGACCGAAACTTTTGAAAAAAGCTTAAGAAAAAGAGTAAACTAATACCACTAACCACTTTCCCTTTTTCCTGCAATTGTCTACAATATATAATTTATATGTTGCTGTGAGTAACATAGATGGGATCTTAGCTCAGTTGTTTAGGCATTGGTGTTTTAACCCCCATGGCACATGTTCAAGTCCAGCAATTTCCCATTTTCCCTTCTTATTTAATTTCTTCCTCATGCTCTAATTTTTCATCCAATTCGATGATGGTGTGTCACCATTTGATTGGTTGGAAAATTGGAAAAAAATAAGTAAATTAAAAAAAAACTCTCCTTTCATATTGTTACACATGGCATAATTTGATTAAAAGATTAAATTTATTATATTAAATTAAAATTAGGATCAAAATAATAAAATATATAAGTATTAGAGCCTAAATGTATAATTATGTCAATTTTATTAATTGTCACATCATTAATTCCATCAACTATTAACGACAAGTGGCTTGATTGACAATAATTTAATAGTTAGGTGATCTGATTGACAAAGTTAAAAGATCGATGGTAGAAGTAAAAGGGCTAAATAGTTGAGTGGTCAATGGTATAGTTTACCCTATATATATATATATATATATATATTTGAAAATCAAGCAGTTATTTCTTAATTTTTAATAATTAAAAAATAGCGGGACTCTTCATGTCAACGTGAAGAGTTCCATTGAAATTTTAAGAAAAGTCATTGGCCAACAGGTATATTTTTAAATTTTGAAACATATGGTTGTTAGAACTCGTCACGTCAACGTAACGATTTTTGTCGAATTTCATTTTAAAAAATAATTTTCAAAATAATTCATCATAAACTAATTTATTACAAATTAATAATAATTTTTTTAAAACTAATACAATCACTAAAAATAAAATAATTATTTTTTTTACTTATATTTCTTAAATTTTTGACGATATCGAGGAGTAGTCCAACAATAATAACGTGGGGCTCGTCGATTTTTTTTTTTTGTGGTCGTCCACCTTGATCATCTTCATTTGCTTATTCTTCAATAGGAGGTGTATTGAACATCACTCTACTTTGATTTCCACCTTCGAAATAAGGTGATGGTTACTTAAGGTATTAGACGCCATCATTGACATCATTGACTCGAATTAACCACATAGAATATGATCCCATTCACCACAAGTTTTGTGGAATATGCTTGAGCGTCTTGCATTGTGTCCCATGAACCTCCATGTAACACCCTAGACCAGTACGACATACAGTCGACCAATTAAAGTGCTACACGGAACCACCAGAGTGTCTAACCAAATTTTTCATTATTACTTTTGACTTAAAAACGACCATTTCTAGATTAAAGTCAACTATAAAAATATAATTAAACTATACACTGGGGAGCTTCCAAAATAAATAATTTACATTAAAAAATAATAATACATACCGACTTTAAGATACATTTACTACTCAATTATACAAATGGCTTTATAAATATACATGCCCTTCAAAATGCTGAAACGTACTCTGATCTGCTCTAGTCTGGACCTCGGTCACTTTAAAGCTCATCGACTGCTCCACCTAATCTGCGTAAGGAAACAAAATTCCAAATTTGAGCTAACTAGCTCAGTACCATATTAACAACTAGATAATACTAACTGTATAACACTGAAAGACTCAAACTATCAAGTCTACTGCTCTGCTTTAGTGAGTATACTTGTATACTCACTCTCTACTCTATGGTAGACATCAATGTGCGACTAAGTGTTCTACATCTCGGAGCTCACACACCCCTATAGTCTACCGAGAATTTGGCCATCGGAATCTCTGCGTCGGACACCACACTCTCGACTAGCCCACTCCTTGAGTGTCGGATCTTGAGACCAAACTAGTCAGCTTAAAGTGCCTTGTGCACTCCCTAAGGATATCCAGACTGAATCTATATTTTCGACACTATTAGCTTTTCTAAAAGAACTAGGGTGTCATGATCGTTTCTTGAGCATCAAACGAGGCTATTATTATTTCACCTACTTTATAATGTTTTTACGTTTGAGATAAACATTAATATTGTTCTCACTTGTAGTCTTATTTGAAAGTGATTATAGGCTTTTGGGAAACCTCAATTGCCTTTATACATTCTCTTAATTTAATGCTCAAAACTTAACCTTGGTATCGATACTAGCCTTGAAGTATCGATACCCTACCCAAGGTATCGATACTCATATGAGAGTATCGATACTAGGACCTTGGGTATCGATACTCTCTAGAGTACCGATACCAAAATAACATTATGAAATCTCAGTCTCGATACCAAGCCCTTCAGTCTCGATACCGAACCCTCAGTATCGATACCCCTTAAATGAGTATCAATACTTCTATTTAAAACTATCGGTTCTAAGCTGAAACATGAACAATATCGATACTACTTCTTACAGTATTGATACTCACCCTTAAACATGCCCTATTTAGGCATGAATTTGCCACCCAAACTCCCTAATTTTCCTACTTTAAGGTTTCCCAAAGTGTTATTAGGTCTTATCCGATCTTGGGGTCATAAAGAAGGCTTTAATACTTGTT